TCAGACGTGTGCTCTTCCGATCTCCCCAAAACCCCAAAACCCCAAAACCCCACTTATCAATATAAGCAAAAAGATTTAGGAATGATTAGTTATAGACAAATATAAATCGATTGATTATAAGGTTGGAGTGGGGTCTTATTAGTAGCCAATCAGATAAAGTGAGAGAGAGATTAGAACATGAGTACAACTCATTTAAATCATAGTCAATCCTCAGTTTTACTAATCTTATACTGCATGCATTCTTTATATAGTTCATTATCTAAGTGAAGACAGCGATGTTTGATTACTGCTGACATTGTCTGAGGAAGACTCTTCAATGCTATTGGCCCCTCCACTTCCGTTGTTGACTAGTATGTTACCGTTCATGTATTAGTGCTGTTGCGAATTAATTTGCTGAGTGTTGTTAGCATACTACTTCATCTGCTAATTACCAGAAGCACCAATTTGAGTGCCGTAGCCTTAAGCCATTTATTTTCCTTGTAACTGCTGCTATTAATGTAATTGATTAGGGTTTTGAGATTGGAAGATCTTAGGAGGAGACCTCGATTCTTACTTGAACTAAGGAGCAATGTTTTGTTGTTATTACTTTCCCATTACATTAGTAGACTACTTTGAAATGTTCGAGATGTTCAGCTGACTTGCTGGTATGCCAGTGTTTGCAGTTGTTGGTTTTTTATTATTTATGTTAATATTTTATCTCAACTGGTTACCAGAGGGCGGTTGAGTAGTTTTAGTTGACATTGGATGATGCTATTATTGCTGATGCATCATTTGATCTTTATGGGGAAGTGCCTACTGCTAATGAAGTCCATTGAAGCCCTTACTGTTATTAGCAGATGTTTGCATTAGGTTGTTAAATTTCATAGTGTTTTATTGCTGTTACTAGTGTGGATTGCCAAGTTCTTTTCTCATTGGTGAGGGTTTTTACTGATTATGAGTAATTTATTGCTAAGTCTAATGTAGAGGGTGTTGCTACTGGATTTATGATTAATTTGGCTGGTAGTTAGGATTTACTCTGGGAGAAGGCTTCACTTAAGAAATCACTGATTGCTGGATGTTTGGAGGCATACCATTGTAATAAGCTTAAGGAGATTAAGCCCCAAAGTTAAAGTCATCTGGACTCATTATGAAGTTAGGCTGAACATTCATCATTAATTATTACTGCAACTATGGTGGTAACTTCAGAACTTCTTTATTTTGCTGTTGCATCTTGTTTTGAGAACTGTCTCTTTTATTTGGCATGTGCTGATCAGACGGACTTCTGCTTATGTCTGAGTCTCTGTAACTTAAGCCACCACTAGTGTGCATTAAACTTTACCTTCCATTGCTGTTGCTGTTATTCTATTTCTCTAGTTGTGGCTGACCCTAAGTTTCAGATATGGCATCAAGATCTTTCAAAACATTGACTAGCATCGACTTTTCATTCTCAACATCAGCCTTGTATGTGTACCCTATAAAATTCATATCGAGTTTGCGTCCTCCAAAGCCTTTCTTGCCATTTTTATCGCCAAAAAAGGGTTCTTCCTCCTCAAATTTATCAAAGTTTTCAGTGCTAATGTCTGAAGTGACGTTGGGCATGTAAGGTGCTTCCTGATTTCTAAGTTGACTCCAGTCAAGGCCATCAAAGAAAGGGTGATTCTTGATTTCCTCAACTCCGTTTCTGCCCAGTCTTACCTCTGAATCACTAATCAGACGCTTTAGTATGTCAGTGGCTGCTGGACTGAGGTTGGCTTCTGGTGGAATCACAAAGGTCTTTCTCCAGTGCATGATTTTTTAGCAAGTGATTGAAGGTTCATCTGAAAAGAATGGTGGATATCCAACAAGCATCTCAAACAAGATTACACCTACGCTCCACCAATCTACTGTCTCATCGTAGCCATTTTAACCGAACACCTCTGGTGCAATGTAATCAGGTGTTCCCACAGTTGAATAAGCTAGCTGTCTTGATCTTTTATATCCTAGTTTCTTGTCAAGCACTGACTTCAACTGATTGAAGTTTTAGGAAAAATCACTTTGCTTGTACTCAGTCATTTTCTGTGGTCTAATTTCAGCATGCTTGCACAGACCGAAGTCAGTCAGCTTAATGTGCCCATTTTTATCTAGAAGGATGTTATCTGGCTTTAAGTCTCTGTGAATGTAGTTCAAGTTATGAATGGTCTCTATTGCGAGGATTGTCTCTCCAATGTAAAATCTAGATTCCTCTTCTGAAAGGATATCCTTCCTCATTAATAAAGTCATCAAATCCCCACCTGGCAAGAACTCCATTACTAAGTAGAGATGTCTCTCGTCTTGGAAGGAATACTTGAGTTCCACAATCCAGTGATTCCTAGCTTTGATAAGAACATCGCGCTCAGCCTTGACGTGTGCTACCTGGTTCTTATAAAGCATCTCAGATTTTTTCATCTTCTTCATTGCAATTATTTCCCCTGTTTCCTTGTACCTGCAGATTCTGACCTCTCCAAAGGCACCTCTGCCAATAATGCTCAAAGGTTCAAAGTCTCTTACAGTAATCTTCTTCCTCCTGCAAATAAATTAGATCACTCAAGTGTTTATACATTTTTCTGTTGAGTTCGGCTTCCTTATGCAATATATCTTATTTAATCAGCTCTTGCTCTGCTTCACTTAAATTAAGTTTCGCCATCTTTTTAGAAAGCATGTCCCAAGCTAATTGAACAAGTAAATATCAGAGTAATTTGAAAATATTATTGTGAGGAAGATATTGATAATTTCTGTTGACTTACCCTCCTTTCTTTCCTTCTCTTCGCATTTAAGTTTTTAATACTTTTTCTCAATGAATGCCTTGGCGATATCTGCCTTCTCCTTGGCGAGTTGGGAAGGTTGTTGATTCATTTAAACATTTGTGTTTTAGTTCTCCCCATTTCTATAGAGTAGCACTTTAAGCAATTATTTGAAGTTACCTTGTGGGAGGTCTATTGTTGAACTAAGCCTGCTGTTGCTGCTACTATGCGAGATGCTGCTGCAATTGTTATTGGTTGTTTATTGTGTGCATGTTTGCCATTTGATTTAAAGTATGAATGCAATTCAAATTTTTATTGTTAGTTATCGATTTTCTTAATTTAAAATCATATTTCGCTCAACGGGGTTTTGGGGTTTTGGGGTTTTGGGGTTTTGGGG